CATAATCAAGAGCTCTTGCCCCCCCCCCTTACACATGATATTATTACGCCCCTTTCATGCAGATGCTTAGTCAGTCACCTGTACCATTGCAGCTGGACCATTTTAGGGGGTGTGGGTGAAGGGATGGTGAGGTTAGGAGGGGGTAGGGAGGCCGGCAGGGGGGATTGTAGGAAGAGGAACCAGGAACCAACCAAATTCAACAATTATGTGAAAGCTGTAATTAATGAAAAATCAATAAAAAAGCCTGTCAGCAAAACTACAACAAGCTCTGTAACACAAACCAATTATGTGAATTCATGTACTTTATTTTTATATAGTTTTAAAGTTATGTGATAGTTCAATCCTCTAGATCAAACGACACTTCAAATCCTTCAAATCAAAGAAAACATCAATTTCCAAAACAAAAACTCTTTTAAATAAAACAAAATTTAATCTTTAATATCAAACAAAACCTTAATCCTTTAAATCAAACAAAACCTCAATCCTTTAAATCTCAATCCTTTAAATTAAACAAACCTTAATCCTTTAAATCAAACAAAACCTCTATCCTTTAAATCTAACAAACCTTAATCCTTTAAATCAAACAAAACCTCAATCCTTTAAATTAAACAAACCTTAATCCTTTAAATCAAACAAAACCTCAATCCTTTAAATTAAACAGCACCTCAAACCTTTAAATCAAACAAACCTCAATCTTTTAAATCAAACTAACTTCAAACCTTTAAATCTAACAAAGCCTCAAACCTTAAAATCAAACAAACTTCAATCGTTTAAATCAAACAAACCTAAACATTTTTTAATCAAAAAAACTTTAATCCTTTATATCTAACAAAACCTTAATCCTTTAAATCAAACAAACTTCAATCCTTTAAATCAAACAAACTTCAATCCTTTAGATTAAACAAACTTCAATCCTTTAGATTAAACAAACTTCAATCCTTTAGATTAAACAAACTTCAATCCTTTAGATTAAACAAACCTCTATCCTTTATATCTAACAAACCTTAATCCTTTAAATCAAACAAAACCTCAATCCTTTAAATTAAACAGCACCTCAATCCTTTAGATTAAACAAACTTCAATCCTTTAGATTAAACAAACTTCAATCCTTTAGATTAAACAAACTTCAATCCTTTAGATTAAACAAACCTCAATTCTTTAAATCAAAAAAACTTTAATCCTGCATAACAAACAAAACTAAAATGTTTGCATCTTCCAAAACCTCAAATCCTTTTCTACAATTGCCTGAAAGCCGCTAAACCCAACCTAGAAGAATGTGATGGAAAGAATAAATAAATATTTTTCCATTTTTCTAATTCAGTTTATACGTATTGTCGGCAGACCTAGAAAAAAAACATTATAATCCGAATATTAAATAGATAATCTCTCTACTACACTGTACTCTACCCCGTTCAAATCTCTCTATACTATACTGTACTCTACCCTGTTCAAATTTCTTCAATGGACTATGGGAGTTAGACAGAGACAGAGAAATAGATTAGACTGACAGACATTTTAAACCAGAAGGACAAACAAATTGACAAACAATAAATAATAAACGACAGTTAGAGCTAGATTATATTATAAAAAATGTTGAAGTATGATTAATGAATTATGCACATTGTTTATAAAGTCAGCGTCGAACTGAGGAACAAAAATCGCCCATTAATTTGTTAAAGTCTAACATAAAAATCTATTTATGATAAAGTGGTAGTATGTACTGTTTATGAGTAGATATCCTGGTTTAATATCCTTTGAATGAGCAATTATCAGGTCCTGTTTTTCAGTAGATGTCCTATTATCAGGTCCAGTTTGCGTAGATATTCGTAACAGGTCCTGTTTCTGAGTAGATGTCCTAGTAACAGGTCCTGTTCCTGAGTAGATGTCCTAGAACAGGTCCAGTTTATGAGTAGATGTCCTAGTAACAGGTTCTGTTTCTGAGTAGATGTCCTAGGAACAGGTCCTGTTTCTGAGTAGATGTCCTAGTAACAGGTCCTGTTTTGTGTTGATGCTGAATATTGATTTTGTAAATATAACGTGTATACGAACCAGGAAATGGGCAGGAAGTTCGGAGAGTTGGGTTTTGTCCGATCAAGTGCAGGGGATCTCTAAAGTTGGCTTACATACTTTATAAATATATCATATATTAGATAAATCTAACTTCTTAATATAAATATATCATATATTAGATATATCTATCTTCTTAATATAAATATATCATATATTAGATATATCCATATTCTTAATATAAATTCATGAAGTAGATGTCACTCAGAGTTAAGTAAAATAGCAAAAGAATAAAATTTTTCTTTTTTTGCAAAGATTATACAAAATTGTAAGTTTCATTGAACTGAGTAGTGAGTTACACTTAACTCTTTTTAAATAAAGAAAAGTTGTCTGGACACTATTAATGTACACGGATCAACTTGAATTAATCACTGGTTAATGCTCAAAGTTAAAGGCAATGTTCGCGAAAGATGAAAGGGGGTATAGGCTTGCTGCGAAAAAAAATCGCTTTTGATCGCTACTAATCTTACTTTTCTCTGTTGCGTCTATAAGGTTAAAAACGACTCATTCCACACAAATCATTCAGATATTACAACCCATAATCATCATCAATTTTTCGACGCTTTCGTATATAGTTAATATTTCATAATATTTTTATTTTTTTATGATCTGATAGTTACTTTTGAAAACATTTATTCCTGTTTCGAGAATGAAAACGACGTTTTTTTTATTTTCCAGGAATGTTCGAAAATTCAGCGCCAGCGAAATATTATTTAAAAAACGAAATTAAAAATATTATGAAATATTAACTATATTTGGAATTAAATTGATTTTTTTACGATCCGAGTTGAATGTTGCAACTTTTTGAATTTGTATGGAAGCTACGTTCTTCAGCATGAGTCGTTTTTAACCTTATAGACGCAATAGAGAGAATAAGTAAATTGATTTTTTAACGATCCGAGTCGAATATTGCAACTTTCTGAATTTTTATGGACTCTATGTTCTTCGGTATAAATCTGTTTAACTATTTTCTCCTTATAGACGCGACAGCTAGAAGTAAGACTAGTAGCGATCAAAAGAGCTTATTTTTCGCCGTACACCCATACCCATTAAATTTTTTGCGAACCCTCCCTTTAATGTTGGCGTAATTTAAAGTTTTACAACTGCTCCCTTTAGCTCTTTATCCGACTAAAAATGAAAATAAAAACTTAGTTTCCTCCCATTTTATAAATCCGCAAGTTACTTTGGGAGTGACACAGAATTGAAAAAAACAATAACTACTTACACATTATTGCTCAGAAAGGGATAGGGGTTAAAACTTCTTCCGAATCAATTTGGTTCCTTAAAATCCTTACGGAAACTTCTCTGATGAAGCTGTTAAAATGATAAAGCATTACAATTACAAACTTTTGGAAATTATGAGAGGAATATTACTGAAGTAAGAATAAATCTAAATGCTAAACAGAGTTAGGATGTAACACGCGGGAAAAAGGTTAACGGAATAAAATTTCATTTGAAATGATCAGGAATAATCGACAGGTTTCCGTAACTCCTAAGGCCTTTACGGATCTAAATTGATCCAGAAAAAAACTAGAAGAAAGGTTAAAGTTATACCACTTTGAATAAAACTTGTAACTCTTTCAATGAAGGCTCATTTGAATTTACGTGGCTCGATGAATCTTCCTTGTCGCCCCAAGAATTAATTGGATATTTTAGGGACTATCAGCGACATTTCAAGTGACCTTCCATCCTTCCATGTAAAGATAGTAATGCCCGGTTTACAACGGTACCCTTGAAACCTTTATCTGATCAACAATTTGTATTCTTACTGAAAAGTTTTCATTTCTGTGAATATTTCCATTGTTTTATATAAGCAAGAAGTGCTCAAGTCACTTTTGCAGATAAACTACAAATCAAAATGAACAGTTTAAATAAAAAACATTGATATCTAGTTCATACTTGATCAAACAAAGTTTTTAGAGGTACATTGTAAATCGTGCATTGCTAGCTTTGCATAGAGGGTTACCTGAAATTACGTTTACATTCCCTTTAAGCAATCTGAGTTTTGTTTTACCATGGGTATTTGTTTTACCATGGGTATTTGTTTTACCATGGGTATTGCTAAACTACCTAACAGAACAAGTAGGTAAACCTGTCTTTCCTTGTTAAACTACGTCTCGTACTCCAATCTCCGGAAAAAAATTAAGCCTTTTTAGAAACAATTTTCTTTAACTAGTATCTTTCTCCTCGAACCCTGAGAAATTATGTTTTATAAAATAGTTTTATTGCATGGTATTGTTATTAGGTATTAATTGCATAGATATATAATTATGGACTGAACATTTATATGAGCATTATTAAGGTACTGGGTATTGCATAGTATTGCATAGGGTAGAAAAAATATATAAAAGTTTAAATTTACAAAAATACAAACAATGTTGAAAAAAAAATACATTTTGTTTAGACTAGAACTAGATCTTTGGTTTTCTCATTTGATTTGACTAATCAATACACTCGGCCGGCCTTCAGAGGATGGAAATAATATTTACAAAATGTTTAGAATATTTACAAAATAATTTGAAGAGATATGAACCAACTGTTGACAGTGGTTAGTTGAAGGAATATGAGAGATTACAGACTTCTTGATGCTTTACAAGATAGGTTTTCACATTAAAGCATCTACCACACTTTTCACATTCAAACTCTTTACGCTTGTTGTGAGTTTGCATGTGTGCTCTCAAGTTGGATCTGTCTGCAAACCTTTTCCCGCATTGAGCACATCCAAAAGGTTTGTCTCCGGTGTGACTTCTCATGTGTCCTTGTAGAAGCCAGGGTCTGGAGAATCCTTTTCCACAAATATCACATTTATGGGAGAGATTGTGGGTTAGAATATGCATTGAAAGAGCAGGAGTGCTGACATATTTCTTGTTACAAATATGACAAGATTTAGCATTTTCAGGTGTTAGAGCTTTATGGGTTTGTTTGTGTCGTGACAAGTTGGAACTTGTGGCAAAATGTTTTCCACATTCTGCACATTGATACTTGTCTGTTGACGAACTTTTGATCTTTGATCTTCCATCAAGAACTAGGATTGAGTCTGGAGTAAAGGATTTGATCTTGAGCTCAGTGATGGATATATCAGAGTAGGAGGAGCCTACAGGAGATACAGGAGGCGGAGATAAAGAGGAGGAGGATGAGGAGGAGGAGTATCTTGAGAGAGGAGAGAAGGAGTATGAAGATGGAGGAGATAAGCTGTTACTCCTGTATTGAGGAGGGATGGAGTATGATGTTGGATGAGAAGAGGATGAATATCTGAATGGTAGAGAGGATGAGGATGGATGAGAGCTGAATACTGTGGATAAGGATAGATCTAGGGGTTCTTGAGATTTCTCCTTCTTTAAGCTGAGATCAAGAAGAGCTGAGGAGGCTAGGATATCTTCAATGTTGAACCTGCTGATATAGGATTTGTGGAAGGATTGAATTAGAATATTCTCATCATGGTTTGGTTCCTCCTTGATGTGTATTCTTTCCAGGTTTGGTTCTATCTTGACATTCTTGAGCTCCAGGTCCTTGGTTGAACAGTAAGGATATTTAAACTTAATTCTTCTGTATAGATCCATTCTTCTCCTGGGTTCTATTTCAACTGATGATTCCTCAGTAGTTTTCATGGTTGCCGCTGCAGTATAATCCCGCGCAGTGAGTTGAGCGCTTTACCGCGCACATTGAGCAGGTGGATAAACTGTAGCTCGAGCCAACTCTATACTCCGCCCCATCGATCCTTACTCCGGGTCCCTCAAATATCCCTATATTGGTCCCCAAGGGGATATCTGGTTACCAGAAAATGGCAAACTCAGCCAGTTTAAAAATGAGGGGATATTTAGAACCAAATCTGTTTTGAACAATTGGTTTTCAGTTTATTACATCAAATTATCCAAATAAATAGTTTAGTAAAGATTTATCATCTTTCAAGAATTAAATTCAAAACTAGAAAATAATTAAACATAATTAAAACCAATATGGCGACGCAACGTTTTTGGATTTAATTACACTTAGTCTTATATTTGCGCATTTTTTTTCTTTATTAAATTCATATTGATTATTTTTTAGTCTGTATCAATCCTGCATTCAGCGATAAAACTTAATAATCTCAATCCATTAAATTTTTTATTCATTTTTATCAATCCTTTATCTAGCGTTTTCATACATTTAGGGATATTTAACTTTTAGTGATCCTTTATCACTAGATATTCTTTTCTTTCTTTCTCTATTAAATTTTTGTATCTCTATCTTTATCCTTCTCCCATGATTTTCTTGCCAATATTTCAATATTTCATTTTTATTTTTATTTTTACTGATTAGAATTCGAATCTGATTTCAAATCTGCTATGGGTACAAACCTACCCCCCGACCAGGGTTTTGAGATCCCTTGGGAAACTTGGGAACGGGATATATCTCCTTATCCTTTACCCGATCTAAATAGGTTTAAGCTTAATACGTACATTGTACGCGGTGACGGTAGCAAATCTTGTCAGTTCAGCTTTTATACAAGAAATTCATGGCGCTCAGTGTTACTTCAATAGGCAACAATAAGATAAAGACAACTTGGAAAGTTATTTATCAAATTTTTAGACAACCTCGGTCCAAACCCGTTAGCCTTGGGTTTTATCTCACCAACTCAATTACACTCTTTGTAGCCCTAGACATACACAGCTTTAAATTGGAACACGCATGTTTTAGCTTAAGCTTAAAAAGGAGTAATTGGCAAGATACTGCTTGATTTTTGCCTGAAAGCGTTCACATCTTGGTTCGCGGTGACACTTGGGATAAAAAGTTCTTTGTTTATATAATAGCGAAGAAAAACAATGGTATACAGATTACAGTGATAACCAGAAAACTATGGAATATGAAGACGACATTATAGAAATACTTAAGTGTTTTTTGTTCCAAAGCAACAAGCTTATGTACGCAAAATCACCAAGAATTGTACAGTCCGAGAACTCATACTTCTAGGGGCCAATGTGTACTTCAATGATAAGTGGGGTGGTTTTGTGTTTTAATGGATTTCATAATTATTAAACCACTCAGGAGTGAATTTTATTTCAGAATATCAAATTATTTCACTGAGCAATATATGATCATATTGACGAGAACTGAAGAAGGACATGAGAAGGACTATACTAACTTAAATTTCTCTCTACAGAACTCATGTACACCACAAGTACTCAATGACATAAGAACAGCCAATGTTCACAACCGACCTAGTTAATCTTTATAACAGGAATATCTTTAAAACATACATTTATATCTTTCAAGATGAAAAATGTCGTCTTATGCGCAATCTATCTTTATCTATGTTTAAATGAACATCTACAGATATTTAAAAAACTCACATAAGTTTAAATAACAGGGAAAAAGAGAACAGCCAGTAATATAATAAACAACATTTCTTCTGAAACAGCAAATCCCAAGGGAACGAGGAAATTTGTTTACAACAAATCAGGATGCTCAATGCATGTATCTACGTTGCTTCGTCTTTTTATTTTTGTTCCAAATTTAGCCTTTTCCTTCTTTTGCATTTTAGCTGCAATATTGCAAGTTTATAAACCAATGAACTGAACTAACACACCGTTCAGCCATGCCTGAGGGTTTATTGTGTTAATAGTATCATTTTATAGATCTAAATTGTCTATAATGATCATTAAATGGAACCCTGTTATACTTAGATATTTTACGATCTATGTTTATATTGTGTAGATATAAATAAGGCGACATCTTGTTTACTTGTTAAACCTGAAGGCCAAAAAAACTTATCAAGCCGAAACAGTTTCATATTTCGTCATTTTTTACCGTTAAAAAGTGTTTATATCAATATTGTAACAGGAAGTTTTAAATTCAAGATTAAAGACAAAAGAGGGACAATTTGCGGCTTCATCGCTTGTCACTAGATATATCCCAGATACATGATCCATTTGAGCCCCCTCCCTCCCGGCCCCTTCCATCCTACTTCCTTTATTGCCCACCCTCTCTCGGTCTTTAGTCTTCAATATCATAGTTTTTTCCCCTCTCTTTCTTTTCATTTTTTTAAATTACAAAATTATAGTATGAGAAGAGGAATCAGTTCCTTTGTATGATATTCATCCTTCTTTTTCACTTTTCCGCCTTTTTTTCCCGTTTGAACCAATATTTAAATTTTTAATATTGATTTTTCTTCGTAGAGGTCAATCTTTCTCGTTTCTTTTTTTAAATTTCCTTTTCCAATTTACATTTTACATAAACATTTTTCTTTTTAACTCGACTCCGAAACCCTGTAAACAAAATCTTGCATCTGAAGAAAAGAAAATCAACAAATGAATGAATGAATGTTTGTAATCTATATTTGGAATTGTTACATATTTTATTTGCCATGTTTTGTTGACAGTTTTCTGAAGAAAATTGATATTTTATACACAATATACAATCTTTATTAGATATCAAGGAGGGAGGAGGGAGGGGGGTGACTATCA